CTGAAGGTGTGGGGGTGTGTGCATGAATAGTTGTTTGTCTCTCCAACCTGCAACCTGTCTAGACCTGCCCAATAACAGCTGGGACACTCTCCAGCTCCCCCACGACCCTAAACAGGAAAAGAGATAAAGATAATGGATGGATCCAAATGCAAACTACAATTATTAATTCTAACTATTAATCCTAATTCTAACAAAGTTACAAAAAAGCAAAAACTACAGAGCACGAGAGGTGACAAACTTTTTTTTTTAGATTTACACGTGCGATTCAGCATCTTGAAAGTGCGTTTGATGACACAAAGAGTCTTGCACATGCGTTTTTGTAAATAATCCTCCGCATCCCTCATTTGTGAGAGAAGAGGGACAGTGTCATGGACAGTGAGCATATTATCAACATTTTCTTTCGTTTAGGTATGACTCACATTGAGATACTTTTAAAGCTTAGCCACATTTGGTGTTGTTATGAGTAGGAGACATCTCATCAGGATCCTTAAAGCGCAGCGACTTTGCCGTCGGCGACATTTGGACTTGCAGGAAGTGATTTTGTTCATTAACGAACAGTTAAATCACACCTGAGATATAATAAATCGCACGTGCAAATTAAAAAAAAACTTCATGTTACCTCCCCGGCTCCGTGAAAAGCAAAAGGTGGCTGTTGAGTATTTTGGACAGCACAAAGCCACAGGAAAAATTAAAGCATGCTAACAAAGAGATGACACAAAGAGTCGCACACAGGGAACAAGGTTGAAGACAGTTTTACAAACAGACAGGCAGAGAAAGAAAGGACAGCTTTTGCTGAATGTCCCTGTAGTTTTTGACGAGCAACAGAAGGTTCTCAAATATTAGACAAGATTGATCTCATGGCATAAATTGTGGGAAATCCGAGAAAATACCAATACTCTGAGTGTCAAAAAGGATAACAGTGGCAGCACAGAGAGATAATTCACCTGATAAGAGGTCCTCAAGGCACTGAAGTCCCACAGTAACAAGAAAGTGAAAAGGACAGTAGAGAGAAGTGAGCATTTATTTGAGTAGAAATGTGTGGGACTGCAGAAATACACAAAGATGGATTTTGTCAGCTCAGTGTCCATGCAGAGCTTTGATGTTCTGCTCTTTAACAATTGCTCCCTGCTGGAGAACTGTGCTGTGTGAGGGCATGAGTCAGAACCACAATGGGAGAGCACTATTCTGACTGAGAGAGAGCCAAAAAAATGAGACATTTCCCACCATCCCATTCGAAGGCAACAGCTACTATTTCTATTCTACAGATGGAGGGGAAGAAAAAGGTTCGCCGCCTGGTGTTTCATCACAGAGCAAATCCAAAGGGAAAAGATGCCCCGCTAAAAACACAAACTCTGTTGGTCAAATCTTTTAAGTTATCCAACATACTTTTACACGATAAAAACACCTGGAGCCCATCCTAAGAAGTTAAGGTTACTTGAGAAAAGGAGTAGCAGCGAGAGGAGATGGTGAGCCACACTGAACGACAGTTTATGCTGCATTCCAGTTGGACTCAGAAGTCAGGACTTCTGAGCTCTGAGTCGGAAATTTATCTGGAACGCCCCCCTGAAGTCGGATTTCCGACTCGGAAAATCAATCAGCAGTAAAGAGTAACAGTAAAAGCTCTCATAATGTATTATTTATTAGAACTTCTGTTTTGTTTTTGTGAGATTAAATAAGTGGTTTATGTTGTACTGCCCAACGTCTAACTGCAATTACAGTGCTATGATGTTTGAAAGAGTAAAATACTGTGTTATGCTTTGTTTACAACCCGTATAGCTAACAACAACTAACAACAGCTGACAACCGCGAACAACAACTGACAACAGCTAACAGTAGGCATCCATCTTGGTTTACCAACTTGTTTACTGGAACGCTGTCAACTCAGGCTCAACGTAATTCCTGGCCCCAACATCCGACTTCGGAGGTAACTGGAACGCAGCATTATTCCCCTCTAAAATTTGACTACTGGAGAGTTTTGTAAGACGGCTTCATTGGTAACCAAGGTCTTGAAATCAGCATCATAACCCTGCCTCTGTTGTAGAAGGATGTCTTGGCCTTCTTTTGAGTCACTCTGTTCTGGACGATCACTGTGCCGCTCTTGTGAGTGACAGTCAGGAGCGGCACAGTGGTACTCTCACTTCTCAGATTAGACCACGGTGCATTTAAAAAGACTCATAATAGACCCCTAACATGAGACAATCAGAAAAAAATCTTGAACACAGTTTTTCACTGGATCAGTATAATACGAGGAGCTCTGATTGTTTGTGAATGACCCCTTATTGTTGGTGTTTGCTGTGGTACATTCTCTGTGAAAAAGCAAAGGTCATCATTTATTGATATTTCTGATGCAGAATGCTGAGGCGTTGAGGTGTTGCACAACAGCTTCCTTGAAGGGAGCAGCATCACACCTTATAAGAAACATCCTGCTGGAAATTCATAAACAGCAGAAGACCTTCACGCTGTTGTTTGTATCAAGCCCAGCTCTCTACATATGCTCCTCTATTCAGAGATATTGATTCAAAAATGTCCATACAGACGCTTTCATGGTCACAAAGCAACAGTAAATGAAGCACTGTCTCTCTTTTACAGAGCTATACCAAAAAGCAACATGATGTACCTTGTTTTTTCTTGTACAAACACATATTATTAGAAGTACAATTAACCAGTTTGAAAGGCAGGAAATGTTCCTAACGCAAAATCATCCTGATGTTTAACAGATTTTTTTGACTGAGAAGAGGCAGAAAATGCTTCAGAGACCGTCTTTGTCCTGGAATCTTTACTTTGAAAATTTGAGAAAATTGACACTGGATTGAAATATGTTGTTGTTTTTTAATCAATGTATTTGTCAAGTTCATTTTGGAAAGTCTAAACAAAACTTGAACTCAAAAATGTACTCCCTTCTGTGACCTCTCCAAAACAAATCAGTTTTCCACTCTCAAGTCTTTCCCTCCATTAGTATCCTGTTTATGACTCAGAGTCAAGAAGTAAATCTGGAACTCTGACTGAAGGAGCTTCAAGAGACTGAGATGTTTGTGGAGATATTTTTAAATTGTTTTCAAAACTTTTGTTTACAGGTTGTGTTTTGAAGCTCATCTTCTGTTGGCTTCAGTCTTTTTTATAGAAATAACTCTGCTGTGTGAACCTCCCTTTGCCTTGACAAACTAAAATCCCCATGCCAGAAGAACTTATCTTTGACTGATGCAATCTGTCTACCTCTGACTTATCTTTCTGTTCTCTATCTTTTGACTTGAATTTGCTATAAATAAGAGTTTTCTCACTTCTTATAATACATAAAGAGCATCAGTTGAGGTTTTGATGCAGTCCCACTTGCCTTTTTTTACGTGTCTTGTTGCCACAAGAAGAAAACATTGACAAATGAACCTAAACTCCTACTTGTTGATTATTTTCCCTTGTCAGTCATTCACATTAGATCTTGTGTAGTTTTTCCAAATCAAATTAGAAGAAATACTTTAAAATTCATGGTACAAGAATCATTTTTGATACCTTTTCATTATCAAAAAGTAAGCTACATCTTTCAGACTGACCCAGAAGATGGACTTTGGAGTAGCCAGCATCCCTTTCATCGAGTAAAGGGTGTGGGATACATAGCCAGGTGGACCAGTCGAGCTGCATAACTTTCTGATGTTTTTTCCCTTATCAGGTTACAATCATGCATTGAAGAAAACAGTGATGTACTATTTAAAGTCCTGTACATGGTTCGGTGCATTCAGAGTATTCAAGTAAACCTTGTGAAGTGCTGGTTTGAGTGATCAGTGGAGTGAGGGGTGGTGTGACACAAGGCTCTTGCACTTGGTCCGTCCGTGTGTTGTTAAGATTAAATCAAGTATCAAGTAAATGATTATTAAGAACATGTCGTTACACAAACTTTTTGGTCCAATTTACATCAGGTTAGGAACACCAATGTGCAGTCTCAGATACATTTAAATATCAATGTGGTGTTTAAAGCGTCAAGCACGTTTCGATGCAAACTAACTGGCAACGTCGAGGGCTGCAACCCCAAGCTGACAGACAGCTGGAAAGTCAGTGCTGTCAGCTTTATCAAGCATGTTGTTAAACACATTCATTACTGTTTCTGTTACATGAAAAGTCTGTTGTTTTCAATGAATAACTGATAAGTGATGGATATGATTTCCAAATATAGATTGAGGGGTATACTTTGAATTTGCATCCTGAGTACATCTGTACTTCATTACTGTCAACACTACTACAGGATGTGCTCAGCAACTTTCCCACTGAGCATGTTTTGGTCTAAAAGAGGATATTAAAAGTTAGCCCCGTTGTGATTCATCTTCCTGAATCCTGTCTCTCTTCATGACTTTGTTAGTTGTGAAACTGAAGTTGATTGACTCACTTTAAGGGAGGCGACGGCCTCTGCTCACAAACGATTTTCCACATTGCGTTTCTAAAACTCACAACCACTGACCTTAGGCAGACGGTCCGACTTGAATGTGACATTTCTGGTTTGTCTTTTAACATCTGACAACAAAAAGCAGAGAGGGGAACAAAGGTCTGAACATTTTCCCGCAGGTTAAATGTTCAGACATCTGCAATAGTTGTCCTCTGTGTTTACTTTGCTCACAGATGCTTCGATGTAACAGCTGCAACTCAATGTTTCTATGGATAAAAAAAAAGAGCATGGGCACTTGTACCGTCCTCATCAGAATGTTAAAGAGGGTTATCAAGCTGTTAGCATTGTTTGCATACTCTTTCATAAACCTGTCATTCATTTGATTAAATGCAGACATCTGCTGCATGTGTGCTCAAGAGTTAACACCTGTTCACCACCAGGTTATACAGAAAGCTAAAAAGACAAAATTAGTGGGTAGGGATACTTTCTTGTTGCCCAAAACATCACAGCAACAGCCTTACATGAGACCAATTTGATTTAAAAACCTTAGAAAACAAACGCTGGGGCTTAATGACAACCGTAGGAGAGGAAATGACAGAGACGTTTTTCTGTGAAAGGACACAGACAGGACTCTGCAGAGGAGGTAAATCTAAATCAAAACAGAGCCATGAGTCAGAGATCGAAGTCAGGATGAGTGTTTACGGTTGGTGCGCCACAACAGAAACAAAGTAGGTAAGAAAGACAAGACTTTTAAAGACACAGCAAGAAATCCATCTGAATGCTTTTCACTGCTTTGAGAAAATTGTTCCCAAAGTGTCCAGGTTTTCTCTGATCAGCTGATTATACAACTGCACAAACTTCTCTACCTTGGGATAAATAAGGCTTTATCTTATCTTACTCTCTTGTAGCGATGAAGCTTTGATGGGAGTTCAGTCAAGACTATATCTTATCCTTCTATCACCATATCTCAATGCTGAGTTCAAGCAGCAAGAACTTTCAACCAATAATACACAATCAAATGACCTGCGTACAACAGGCGTGTGTACTCATCATCTATCTCTGCTGACTGAAGTGTAACACACGTTTAATAAGTTTGAAAATTTAGCAATTACATTAGTTTGAGATTGCCGTCAACAGTCAGTGAAAGGATTGCTCTCTATCCCTTGTGTCTGATAACCTGCAGTTCATTACTTTCTCTGAAACGATCAGAGAGAGAAAGGTCCTTCAGTTCAGCCCCCTTGTTGATGAACCTGAGTGTAGCACTGTTTGAAAAGTATATGTGCGGCTGACTCGAGTCTTGTCCATATGTTGGATTTACAAAATTAAAAACTGGATTAAATGGCGAAACTATAGGTTAGAAAAGTTAAACACAGGATTACAGGGTGTGCTAGTAAACATGCAGTCTGCACATATTATGGCTTATCTCAAAATAAATGCAAATGCTTGATGTTTTTAGAGGCAGTTTGTTGTCCTTTTATAATGGTTGGTTTGTTTGTCAGCTGTGTTTACCGACCGGTGTTTGCTTAGTTAATTATTCAGGACATGCGAGTTTCAAACTCCCAGTAACTTCAGTTCCTCACAGCCAGTTTTATCCTGGCCTAACTTTACGTTGTGTTCAGATTGATAATTAAGAAAATAAACACATTTTAAACTAGAGGTGGACTCAGTAGGGTTCAGATATCAGTCAGGTGTGTTTAGGGGCGTGTTGGTGGGAACTAGGAAGTTATATGGTTAGCCCATGTGGCTAAAGAGACAACTCGTTACCAGTAGAAATCTCGGGTAACTTCATCAACAACAAGGTCCCAGCCAAACATCTTTTTGGCACTGCCTGATTTCTTTAGCAAAGAGACTAAACACAACTCACCCACTTTACTCCAGCAGCCGCTTGTTTGTGGGGGAAGCCCTGATGAGTCGATCACCAAGTGCAGCGGAGTTTCGCAGCTCAAGGAAGAACATTTATGATCATTACTTCATGGAAATGCAATCAGACCGAGATGCTAAGGCAGAAGAACTACTGTGTCTGCAGTGCAAAATGATTAAAATGATAACCATTACTTCATGGAAATGATCCGCTGCACTTGGTGATCGACTTGTCGAGACATAGACTGCTGTGTATTGCTGTCGTGCGGTCGTTGCTGAAGTTGGTATAACTAGAGAAGCAAGCAGTCGAAAACATTCATCTCTCAAGGGGGTGTCTAACTCGGAGTTACAGAGTGTTTGACCATAACTTATATTTACGCCACATTAACCCTTTAACCAACATATTTGGCGTGTGTTCGCTTTGACATATCTTTTGTATGCATTCATTTTGGCAAGCCCCATCGTGGCAACAATTTGCACGGCAGCATTACTTGATTGCTCTGGCCTCACCACATTGATTACTTCCTTGTTCTGCAAACCGACATCCCATCAATCAAATCAAAGAAACTGTTGTAAAGTATCTGTAATAAACAGGTCAAACAGCTCTGCTCTTTGTGTTTAAATATGTTCCTCACCGGAGCGACTAAAGTCCAGCATTTACGGTCAAACCTGCAATTTAAATCAGCCGACCCATTCGTGTCACCATTAACCATGATTGTGCCATGACGCTTCATTTGTACCAATTCTTTCAACATCCAGAGCGTTTATCCAAATGCTGCAGGATGAAGGTGAGAATCATGATGTGAAATTAAGATTATTATCATGTTTTCTTGCAGAATATTTCCTCATGGTAACCCCCTTTTTTCACACTTCAACTCAAATCATCCCGATAAGACGGATCCTTCCCAGACTAGTTGGAACTTACTCAGAAATCACAGTCATGCCGATGTTTATCTCCCTCTGTTCCTCACTTATTTGAAACGTTTTTGTGACTCCTAAATCACATGTCGCTTGCTCAGACTTGCCAACAGGAGACAAGAACAGCCTGAGGAACCAATCATGACGAGTGCAGCGAGCAGAAACTGGGTGTCGCTAAAGGTGACTCACAGGGAGATTTCTTCAGGAAGGGAAAACTCCTGCTGAATGTGAACATACGTTACTTTATCTTCACTATGTTTCTATCTGTCTTTATAAAGGAACAGTGTGTTTAGAGATGAAATATATAAAAACCATGATTACATTAACATATTAACCTGAAAAGCCCTTCATTCAACAAGCAGGGAGGAAAAACTGTATAATGCAATCCACTTTAGCTCATTACTTTGATCTAATTAAAGTATTCGCTGTGATTTTGATTTGTCCAATGACGTTTGGAATGCATTTAATTTCCTGCGAACGTCTCTGTTATACTTGTTTGTCACAAAAGACTTGGCAAGCAAACTATCGATGACATGTCATACATGGCAATCATTCATTAAACTGAGTCAGCGAGATTTAATTATTGATAAAAAGAAGAAAAACACATTCAAATGAATTCATCTTTCATTAGATATATTAATCATCCTTTGGCTCACCACTGAGGAGTCAGAGAGAAAATATTCCATTCATCAGCTCAGAGTTTAATGAATGTTTTCTCTGATTAAACGAAGTGCTGATGAATTAGAAACAGGAGGGCATCTTACTAGATTCACGTTGGAGCTTTGAGGAGTATAGTTTGACATTCTGGCAAACACTTGATGGCTGTCTTGCAGAAAATTAGAAGTTAAATTGATTTCTCTTACATGCAAGGTGTTAATAGAATATAAGGTAGGATGCAGCTGCAGCCAAGAAAGAGATTTAGCCTTTTTTCTTTTTCAGTATTACTGAGTAAAGTGGTTGGGAAAGCCTCCTCACAGAAACATAACCACCTGTGCAGAGTGTATTTGCATGCCCAGGCATTTGGTTATAAGATCAGTGTGTTTGTGTGCGTGTGTGTCTATATGCTACAATGCTGCAGCCAGTGGGAGGACTGGTGTCATTTAACAAAATGTTGTGCAGAGTCTTTGGACTGATATGGGGGCTGACCTGAGAAGCGCTGGAGGGCTGATAGCGGAGAGCCACTGACGCTGGCTGACATCCAGAGTAGAAATTCCCCTCACGTCTGGGAGGTGAGAACATTTTTCCTGTCACACTGCTGCTGCCTTACAGGAGGTTATTCAGTTTGAGTCTGATTCAAGTTTACAGTGATCACAGTATTATTCGATCACACGGACACGTGCATGAAAACAGAATAAAAAAAATGAAAGAAAAAATTTCTGCTAGCTGTAATAACTCGCTGGAAATAATTTATGTTCGACATCATGTTCTCTTCACATTTGTTTTTCATTAAGTGTGTAAATTAGTTTTCTAAATAAAACTTTCATAATTATGCCTGCAGCCAATAAGCATTGTTTCTAATGTCGAAGGCCACATAAATAAATGACTACTTTTGATAGTTAAAAAATGCTAAAATGTTCAACAATTAATTTTTCAGCTTGAGAAAAGGTTTGAGGAGAGAATATGGAAGCTATACAAAATCATGTTATGATGAAAGAGTTTTATTTATCTATTTTTTGGTTTGGTTCATATATATATTTAATTGTTTTGTATGTACCTTTGCTAAAGGTTACTTATATGATTACTTTTCTTTATTTTATTTGACTCATCTATAAGTGTTTATTACACGGCTGTCATCTGATGTAAGTGGATATTTGTTTTAAGCAAGGTGCAGGGATTATAAATTCACTTCATCCTGCACCGTTCCAGTCATTGCATTGGAAAAAAATAAAATGAAATTAACTTAAAAATAAAATTCAAAGTTATGCATGCAACACTTAAAGAGATATATTTATATTTTTACTTTGTTAAAGAAATGCAGCCATGTTACATTTACTTTACAGTTATTTCTAATTCCCTGTTAAGGTGGACAGAATGCCAAAGATTAGTGTGAATTGTGCTTTTGTGAAAGGGTTTACTGTTGCAGCCTCGACAAAAGGAAGGACATGATTGCATCACACAATGTTATGAATGCAGCCTTTCAGTCTGGCATGTCAGCAGCTGAAATATTTGCAATAAGAAGGGGGTTGGAGTGAAGAGGGTGCTCGTTAAGCTCAAATTGCATGTACCAGAGGCTATATTCCTCACAATGCTGGGTCAAGAAGCATTCTGTCTGTAAACATAACATCTAACATCAGCACCATATAAGGACGGCTGCTCGCTAGTGTCTAGATAATTCAGTGTTGTTAGAGAAATACCTGGTCGAAGTGCTCTCCTTGAACTCACCGTGTTATTTTCTAATTTTTATTTGATTTTTAAATGCTCAATAAAGAGAGAGCTGCTTCTTTAGAAGAAGTGAAAGAAGAACTTTATTGATCCCTGAAGGGAGATTCAATAGTGGTAAAGCAACTAAAAGTTTACAGTCAACACAAACCTAACCCTGCAGCTGGATGGATTCATGTCTTTCTGTTGGATTGTAACAGTTACTGAGAGCGATTAAATGACACTCTCACTTTAGGTAACCACATATCAAAACAATCGTCAAACAAGTTCACAAGAGGCAACTGGTTTTGTGTCCAACACTGTGTGGTTTTCTTCGTTCTTGTTTTTTTATTGAGGTTTTGCTGACTATCTGACTTCCTGTTCAGCCTCCAGTTTAAAAACTTGTGTCCATTTGGTTTGTTAAAACTGTGTTTTCTGTGTATTGTCTTGTGAATTGTTCAGTGAGGTGTCCTGTTACTTTAAAGGGAGATTCCAGTGTAAAATTTATCTAGGGTCTGACACTGAAACACCGAGTTAGACACCCCCTCCAGAGATGAATGTTGCCGACCGCTTGCTAAATGTTCTTCCTTGAGCTGCGTCACCCGGCTGTAGTCCTTAATGGACTGAGCTGAGGTCTCGCTATAAACAAACGTCTGCTGGAAGAGAGACAGTGAGTTGTGTTTAGTCTCTTTGCTAAAGAAATGAGTCAAAGTTAAAAAGATGTTTGGTTGCTAGTACTATGGCTGGGACCCTATATGAACTGTTGATGAAGTTAGGTGCTGTTCTGAGTATTATTTGTGGCTATAGAGTGGCGTTTTGGTTGAAGTTTGTTTATGACTCCTCAGACCGCTGTGTATTGCTATCGTGCGGTTGTTACTAAAGTTGGTATAAGTAGAGAAGCAAGCGGTCGGCAACATTCATCTCTCGAGGGGGTGTCTAACTTGGTGTTACGGTGTGTTTGACACTAAATTAATTTTAAGCCAGAATATCTCTTTAATTCTTTTTTCTGCTCTTTTTGTAAATATCTGTCTTGTGGAAATGTTGATTGATGCATGCTGTCTTCATCAAATGAATATATAGGTTGTAATGAAGTAATCAGCTTTTTAGTGCGCAGGTTCAACTGCAACCTGCTGTCCTTAATCACGCCTGAAACTGTCTTTTCAGTTTCATGCTCTCTCCACTGTCTAATCTCTCCATAAACATAATTATAAATCAACACAGAGCACAATCTGAAACCTAATGAAATGTTTAACAAGGCAAATATGGCACTCATTTTAGCAGCACAGAACTTGGAATTAAACATCTGTGCACAATAATCCCAAGATTTATATTCATGCATATATAGACATGTCCTTGAGATTCATGCAATTTTTTTCTTTAAAACCATTAAACAGACTCTTTTCTTGCTTTTAGCCTTCATAGAAATTCTTCTTATCAACTGAAATGATAATTGCAGCTCTTCACCGTCAAAATGTGAGATGAATCCTAATGAGCTGGTTTGTCAAGAGGCTCAGAGAAAGCTGACCACACAGGGTTTGAGAATACAAATGTCACCAGCATTCATTTACACCCTCCTGCAAGCATGATATTATCAGACAGGGAGAAAGTGACAACAAGCAGTGACTCCCCAGTGTGGTGTCATGCTTAATGTCTGGGTCTGTCAAAGAAATCCGAAGAGCTTGTTTGCTCACTGCAGATGTAGTCACAGCTGTGTTCCCACCATGGTTAAAAGAGCTCCACCCTGACATTTCAGCCACTTCTGAGGAAAGATAAAAGGAAGTAGTGAACTCTGGTGTATTTTAGTGTTTGGGAGTTTCTGTTATTCTAAAGAAAAACCTCTTTGCATCTCAAAAGTGCTGCTTAAAAACTGTCTTATGTATGACTTAGTCCACTGATACAGCTCAAGACATAATAACGCCACCATGCAATGAGCCTCTAACACTCACGTGCTTATCAAAGCCTCTTTATTTCCCTCATTATCTTGATTTTCTTCTACTGAACTTTGTCCCTAAAGAGAGGAGAGGAGTGGCTAAACATCTCAAACAGGTTTATGGCTGCCTGTGAGCAAGTTTCGAGCCCGGCTAGTTTGCATGTCAAAACTGGAATCCACACCCTCCATCTGCAGACTGCTTATCGTGTTGAGACACCTCCTTGTCTTTGTTCCCCAGGCTGCTAGACAGCAGCTCTTCTAAATATTTACCATAAGCTGAACACACATTGATCTCAGAGGGATATTCCAGGAGCAGTCAAGAGGATTTTCACAAAATTCACAATTTAAATGTAAGTGATTGTTACTATGGGTTTAATGGTGTGATGAGAAGCTCGCTGTGCCTTTAAAAGTCTTGTTCAAGACAGTCAGAGACTCCAGGAGAATATCAAGTACCTCAGATTTGAAATACAGACTCTGGGCAGCAAGAGGTCTGATATGAAACCGGTGGTTATAAATATGCTGTTCAGACAAAGCTAGGATGATCAGTTTTGCTTTTCTTTTCCATTTGTACTGAAACAGAAGACACGTTGATATCAGTCGTTGGACATATTTGAATGGCACATAGGCTGACTCAGTAGAATTTGTGATAAGCAAAGTTTGTGTTCGCATATCAGTCCATCAAAAAGCTACAAGTTGCTATCTGCAAATACAGAATCGAAGATATGAGTGTAAAGTTATTCTCTGTAACATTTTCACCTGCAGTAAAACTCATTTGAGAGAAAGAGAGAGTCCAACACAAACTTTCCCACAGAGTAGCTTTACAGTGCTTATTAATGACAAAGTAAACTTGTTCCTCTGCTTACCTAGCTTTACAGGCGTGTTAGATACGACAGAAAAAACACCCTCTCTGTAAATGACAACCGGGAGTGTTTGAAATATTACTTGTGTCTCTCTTGCTGTAATGTATATGTTTGTTTTCATCTGGTTGGATTTGAAAGGATTTATAATGTTGGCTACGACAGAATTATTTGATCAGCTTAAATGTCAGTGTGTGAATATGTGTGAAAACTGGAATAGAGGTGTTTTAAGTTAAACAAACAAAAGGGTTTTCCTCTCAGTTTTTGTAGACTTCTCTTAAAAGTTTGTAACTAACGTTTTACTTTGGCTTTACAACTTCAACAAGAGCTGAGTTTCACTGAAACGTATTTAAAGATTGATATACTTAAATGCCACAAAGGCCGTTTACGCCTCCATGAAAAACAGATTAGTTTTATTACTCCACCTTAACTTCGAGCTGCATTACAGGTGCAGCAATGACGTTCAGCCCTTGGCCATGCACTGCCTGTCTGTTGTGCCTTCAAATGTGAACAGGTTGAGTTTTTGTAAACGATGAGTCAGTTCACATGATGAGGCTTGTTAGGATTTATTCTGTCAAACAACAGGTTTATAACATTATAGAAAGAGTTACAGACTTTGCATCCTCGTGTTTTCACTCTTAACACAAATATAGGCCACTTAAGGGACAACCTACTTGTGTATATACAGGTGTGATTGTGTGTACCTACTGTGGTACACAATCCTTTGGTAAACAAATACAGGTCCTTTACAAACGCAACACAAAGTCATGTGAAGCTACTGAAAAACAAGGTAATAACTGAACGCCTGTCTGCTAAACAACAACCAAACATGTTTTCCTCACATTCAGCGCTGTTTATCTAGAGTTAACTCCTGACTACTTTAATTATGTACCAAAACAACTTGTCTCTTGGTTGTTTTTAATGTATCTTCAAATTCCAACCAGCCGTCTAGCAAAACGGTAATTAACTATCAATAAAAGACAGAACTGACCTCATTGTATCTAAAACAGCCGAACAGAGTCTGAAACCGTCAGATTGGTTTGTTGAATGTGCCTACAGTTAGCAGATCTAGCACCACCAGTCCAGTCCTTCTTGCAGGTTAATGTCCACATACCTGAGCAGGTCACTTAGATCTTTTGAGTTATCAGGCACAGTCTACATACAACTCATCTCCAGTGTTTCAATGAAATTACTGCGCTTCACCACGAGATGCCGTCTGTTCTTGTTCACATACAGGTAGATCAGCAGAACAGCATAATGGTAGTCACTACTGATCAGATCTCCAGATCTAGGTTACACAGAATATATGACCGTCATTTCAGGCTAATAATTATGTAAATATTAAAAGCTCATGGAACAGAATAGTAATTCTGGTGCCGACTAGTGAGGGTGGCAATGTTGAACTGCCTGGTTGACTTAACGTACATATCCCTATTTAATATACGATAAATCTGGTGAGTATGTGGGATCACCTATGTCTGATATTCACTGGATTGATTACAGAGTGTTTATCAGACTGTTCTCAAGTTACTTATTTATCGCACATAAAGGCTTTACACTGTTATTCTGGGAAACTGCCAGCCAGCTATTCATTAATCGGCACATAGCTCCTGTTTTGATTCCCAGGAAACTTCCGGTGTAATATCCAGATAATATTTCCGTATTGAACATGTTTTTTAACTGTTTAATCTTCCTGCTGTTTGCACTGTGGTTGTGTTAAAGATTGTGGTTAGGTTTACATAATCTACACAGCCGTGCCTGCTCTTCATTAGGCCCAACAGGAGCCAGTTTAACCAGATTCTCTACCCTCTTACAGACTTTGGTTGGTGATCCTCTTACATCATTTTATTAAACGCTATTATCTCTGACAGGTTCAACTAAAAAAATCCCAGAGGGATGGAGTCTTCAGAGTTTTCCGGACTGTCATCCTTAAGAGGGGAGTTTAAATCCGAGGATTACATCCAACCTCACTACAGGGAGTCTTATCGGTTGGCCATCGATCGCCTGGTGAGCGGCGGCAGAGACAGTTACCAGGAGTTCCTCAAGGGAGAACGGATCGGAAGCTTTTTGTCGGAGGATGAAATCCTCTTTATCACTGAATATGCTGAACAGCCTCCTCCACAGAACCAGGATGAAGAAATCGATGGTTCAACAGACACACAGTCATCCTCAGGGACGTACTGGCCCGTCCACTCGGATGTAGAAACACCAGATTTGGACTTAGGGTGGCCGGAGGTCATGCATGAAAATCTACAGACTAATATAGATATGCTCTATCATCCAGCAAGACAAAACAACCCCACCATCAAAGAGGTGATCCGGAAGCAAATCCATGATGCAAGACAGGTAATCAAAACGGCAAATGACCATAAGCTGAGATGTTAGGTGTTCGTTCTCTCAGTAAAGCGGCTGAGGCGCTCTGTTTTTCTGCCTCATTTAAAGAGCGCTCAGGACTGGTCTGTCATGTTTTAAAAGAAGCTTACGAAAGTTTTGATCTTCCTCATTTCCAGTCATGAGGAGTGTCTAACGGGGTTGTTGAGGTCACAATCTGGTTTTACAACTCAGCAGTATTAGAAGAAACTGCAGGAACCCCCATGTGTACAGTCATATTTTTCACACAGTGACTCAGTCACTTCTCATTTTGTGTCTGTGTGATTCATAAAGTGGTTTTGAAGCTCAAAATGATTGTGGTTAGTAGAGAATTAGTATTCTGTTTCACTGTGACAACCTTTTACAGGTCCAACAGCTCCTAATTAAATCCAATTACACAGAAAAAGACCGACTGGAAAGGTCTGCTGAAAACAAAAGTACAGGGCCCCATCTCCTTTTACAGCTTACAGAGAGCCAATTACACCCTATCCTCTTTCCCTATAATAACAACCACTGCTGTGTGAAGTCATCCAAAAAGCAGATAAAGGAGTGAAACAGCATGTAACGTCTCGTGTTTGCTAGAAACAGATATTTTTAGTAAACAAACACGCATTCATTATTCGAAATCATGAACATTTTCATGTCTCATTTGAGTAACAGACACCTCCTTAATAAGAATTTAAAAGGAAAGATATTGCTCTAAACACAATGAAATATCACAGGATGTGAGTTTATTAGAGCTCACTGTGTGAATGTTGACGCTAAGAACATTTGGTTCTTTGAAATCAGGAGAAACTTTCATTGCAGCCTCAAGTAGAGCTGAACAAGTTATGAGAATAAATGTTATCACATTGTCTTTATTATAATTGCCAGACTGTTCTCTCACGTCTTCTTTCATTATCTACTAAAACATACTTCACACATAAGTAAGACTGTAATTGTCTTATATTACTGTGGCCTTGGCAACCCTACTGACTACGGTTCATTTTTTCCTGCAGGTCATCGGCATCGTGATGGACGTGTTCACTGACGTCGATATATTCAAAGAAGCTGTGGACGCATCATTACGAGGGGTCCCTGTCTACATTCTTTTGGATCATTACCACCTGAAAAGTTTCCTCACTATGGCTGAAAATCAAGATGTAAAAATACAGCAGCTCAGAGTGAGTCCGGATTTACAACATCTATATGACTTTTTTTGTTTTTTTATTTTAGTGATTTTTATTTTGAAGAACGGATTTTCATTTTTGAAAACTTTGTTGTCGTTTACAGTTGATTCACCCACTTAAACTACAGGTTACACTGATGGTAGTGAATGCCATGTAAGGCACCCATCAGTTTTTAGATAATCCCATTCATACCTGACTAGGTGCAGCCAGACAGGACAGGTTAGGGTCAAAAGTTTTGCCCGAGGTCGCTTCCGCATGGAATCTAACCCATGACCTCTTAGTTTGTACCTCATTATGGGTGAACAAATATTTGAAAAAGTTCAGATTGAAGCTCCTCTGAAGAAAATTTGCTAAGAATGTGGGGGGTTTTGTCATCTCCAGCACAAAATATAATTAGGGTACAATGGAGACAAGACCCAATACCAGTACTGGATGGCCATGATCTCCAGGTCCTCAGTACAGCATTAAAAGCAGATGTGGCCCTGTAGTGGAAATCACTACACAGGTTCAAAATAGGAACTAAAAAAAAGTAAGATATTTAGGAGTATGAGTAGGAATATGTACAGCTATTAAATAAATAGTTGCATAAAATATGTATATACCGATACAGTGGAGTGTGATTAGTCTTAGATGCTTTTCAGTGCACAGTTCAAAAGCCTGCAGCTATGATGGTAAAGGGATGCACAAGTGCTCATGGCATGAACAGCTTGCACTTCCAAGAAGGCACCATTAATGTTGAACAATGTATAGGCTTTGAAGCAACATCTGCTGCCATCCAGATGATATAATTTTCAGGGCAGACCTTACATATGCCACACCACATTTTCTGCTTATAACATCTGCATGGCTCTGCAGTAGAAAAAGTCTGGGGTACAAACTTGCCTGCTTGCAGTCCCCATTTGTCACGAGTTGAAACATTTGGTGCATTGTTCAATGAAAAAATACAAAAAGGGAGTCCTTTAAACTGCAGAGCGGCCGGATCAGGTGAAAATGTGACATTTTGCTGTCAAAATTCCAGGAACTGGCCTCTTTGTTAAATGTTTACTGTGTCATTAAGAGCAGGGGGGATGCAACACGAAGGTAAACATGCACCTGACCCAAGTTTTTGAAAAAAAGTGTTTATTTTTTCATAAATCAATCAAAATGTTTATTTTTAATAGTTGATGTCTTTGCACTATTTGAATTTAAATATAAAACGTAAGTTATTTGCAAACCACTGAAAAATTAAAGCTTATTTTACAGTAACTCAGCTTTTTACACAGTGGGGTTGTACATGAAATATTCAGGTGTTTTGTGCTCAGGTTGTTATAACATGTCAAACTCACAAAGCTGACACTTTTTGAAAGCTATAATTTCAAGGCGACAAACCAAAAGAAAACAAATACATCTGACACTTTTTGCTGGGGATGAGATGACAAGGCTGAGATGGTCTTTTTTCTTGGAATTTCCTCAGACCATTTTTAATAGAGGATAGCAAATAGAGTAGGACACCAGAGAAAGCGATAGTGGGGAATGATATGGTGCAAAAAAGCCAAAGGTTGGATCCACAGCTGTCCATTTGAGGACTGCAGCTTCTGAATATGGGGCAAGCATTTCAACCACTGTTTTAGCCTACTGACCCTTTATATTGATCATATGTCTGTACAGCAAGGAGCTGTTGGCTTAACAACTGCAAACAGGGGGATATAGTTTGCTGCATTTGCACCAGGCATCGCCAAAACTTTATTATATTAGATTATATTGGATTAGATTGCACTGGGTCATTGCACATGTACTAAGCCATAGCAATGGAGTGTCTAACAAGAGGTGCAAGCAAGGTTGAAGTAACGTGCAAAGCAAGTGTAGAGTGACAAAGAGAAGTGACAGACAACTTTACTGGTGATGACTGACAGATAGCATCTTTGGTCTCTATTAGTCTTTATAATAGAGCTGACAAAAGTCTTCAGTGTAATCAAAACCTGGTTCTTCCTGTTTTGGGTGGGTCATAACTATTTATCTGGGCAAGAGACATATGAAGTTCAAACACACCCTGTCCATTAAGTACACATCACATGCCATCACCAGCAACTACAGCAGCTCCACAAACGCTAAACAAATCCTCAAGACTGATTCAACCTGCACACAACATCTTCTTTTCGGGATTTTTTGACATGACTGACATACTTGTTACCTTCTGCTGTGATATCTGCTCTTTAATTTTCCTGTCAATGCTCTGTTCACAGAACATGAGGGTGCGCACTGTGAAGGGCCAGGATTACCTCTGTCAATCAGGAGCTAAATTTCATGGGGCAATGGAGCAGAGGTTTCTCTTGGCTGACTGCCACACAGCCATTTATGGCTCATACAGGTAAATAAAACTGAAGTACAAGAGTTCACTGGGGTGAGCTGGAAGTTGAATGCATTTAGTTGGCAAAGTCTGCTTTTACATCTCCATAAAATGTCTGTGCATCAATGTCTTTATGGTAGTTTTTTACTGCTGAACTTTTTAAAAAAGTCACATCAATAAGATATTTCTATGTAATAGTAAACACGGCAATGACCTAAAAATAAAAGACCCCAAGAGTAAGCTTTTAAAATATCTATTATGATTTTGCATCAAACCCCAAACTTGAAGCTCAAACTTGGTATTGAAGAGATATTCCGATGTAAAATTAATTTAAGGTCAAACACACCATAACACCGAGTTAGACTTCCCACCGAGAGATGAATGTTGCCGACCGCTTGCTTCTCTAGATACCAACTTTTGTAACGACCGCACGATAGCAATACACGGCGGTCTGAGGAGCCATAAACAAACCTCAACCAAAACGCCACTCTATAGACACAAATAATGCTCAGAACAGCACCTAACTTCGTCAACAGTACATATAGGGTCCCAGCCATAGCACTAGACACCAAACATCTTTTTTAGCTTTGCCTAATTTCTTTAGAAAAGAGATTAAACACGACTCACCTACTCTCTTCCAGCAGCTGCTTGTGTGTAGTGAGACCTCGGGACAGTCCATTACGGACTGCTGTGGGGTGAGGCAGATCAAGGAAGAACATTTATGATCATTTCTTCATGGAAATACAATCAGACTGAGACACTAAGGCAGAAGAACTACCCCGTCTGCAGTGCAAAATGATCAATATGGTAATTATTACTCAAAGGAAATGATAAAGTAATGATGAAAAGCAAGCGGTCGGCAACATTTGTCTCTCGAGGGGGTGTCTAACTCTGTGTTATGGTGTGTTTGACTCTAAATTAATTTTACGCCCTTTTAAGTTCGTTTCAACAAGAAGAAAGTCGTATTACAAAAAAGAAAATCATATAAAGTCTTTCTTACTGTAAACTGATGGATGTTTGTTTTCTGTTTGCAGCTTCGCTTGGTCTTTTGAAAAGATCAATCTGAGCATGGTGCAGGTCATCACAGGACATCTGGTGAAGTCTTACGATGAGGAGTTTCGAACTCTCTACGCTCGTTCAACCGTCCCTGTCGAACTGATCCCCGAGTCACTCCAACGCAACGGCTCATTCGGACGACCCGTTTTGCATTCTGCCCAGAAAATTGAGCGCAGAGACCAGCTGAGACATACACTGGACACAGTCTACAGAAAGACCTGCGAAAGGAAGCTGGGCACGAGAGACTTTGAAGAGAGGCTCTTTGAAGAGGACGCCAACAAGCTCGGGCCTTTGATTGAGAATGGGATCAGTGGTCCGAACCAGATGCCTCAGTTTCAGTCCACAGAGGCCATGGACTTTTTGAAAAGGCACAGCTATGCAGGGGAGAGACAAGATGGATATGTGCCTCAGAATATCAGGCCTAGAGCGAGCAACTGGAATGTCTCGAGAGAGGCAGGAAATGGAATAAACAACTACGCAAAGGACAATTATTTGCACGGGCCGCAGATATTCAGGGGTCAAAACATTCGTCAGTCTTACAACGGCAACGACAAACAAATTGTGTCCATGCAACAGCACATGCCGTCACTGGAGAATACATCAAAGTCATTCATGCGCACTTTGAGGATCGAGTCCTACCTCAAGAACCCAGACGTCCCACTCGGGGACTCTTGTGACCATTTAGACCAGCATGAAGCAATGGACAAACCTAGCTCATACATGCAGGGAAGAATGAGGAATTCCCTTGCTTACAGGTCCGCCCTGCCAGAGCAAATGGACCCAAACAGACATATCAACAACTCCTCCACTCATGTCAGCACCCCAGCAGCACAAAACACTCCTTTGCACTACTCATCGATGCAGTGGAATCCCACATCAGCAGATAAACGAATGAATCATGATGAGTTCATGTTAAAGAGGCAAAGTTTGCAGGTTTTGGATGATAATCGGAATAACTCCAGCTTTGTTCCAGGTAGGAACAACTCTTACCAGTCTGTGTATACTAGTCTCAACAGACCTAAGGGTGGACACATGATGACAAACCCTGATACCCTGGCTGACAACTGGAAGAGGCACAGCGTGGCAGATCCGAGATCAAACACAGAGTACAGACACGAACCCTCCCCTCATGTGTACGGAGCTTATACAAGGATGCAAGCAAACAGAAGCACGACAGGGATCAATGCTCAAAATGGTGGATATGTACCAAATCTGAAGGAGGATCAGAGGTCTTTGTCTCATTACGATGTCAAGAGCATCACAAGTACTAAAACCCCCAGTACTCCCAAGTGGCAGGAGCCGCCATCAAGGACTGTGTCTGCAGCAGCTCTGGATATGAACAGCAAAGATTTAACAGACAAATCCCACAGCACCAGCTCTCATCATTTCCTGAAGAAGAGCACAAAGAAAATAAAATCCCTGTTGCACATACCAGAGAAAAAAGAGGGTTCGATGAGTAACTTTGACACGCAGAGTTGGAAGTCAGGTACAAGCACAGACACTATAACGGCCTTAGATGACGATGTGTCACAGGGAGGGGACAAACGTCACCACAGCACAACCAGCTCTGTCAGGTCCTCTTCGGGGCACCAGAGACAGCTGCTAGAAGACAACCACTTGAAGACTTCAAAACCTCGATTTGGGACCGAAGAGCAGCGGAATCCACCGCAGAGCTCTCTCCTCAAGACAACGACAACCACCACCACCATCCTTGACAGAGGCAGCAGGACCGGCCTTAACACTGAGAACCGTCTGTACAGCAGGTTTGAGCCTTTCTGCTCAATGGAGAAGAAACATCCACTGCGCACCACACACAGCTTCGGGAGCTCTCAGGAGAAGGTCAAAGTCTTCCCAAGAGTAGAGTTTGCAACTGAACACCACCTCAACCGGGCTGGACGAGGGCCCCATGAAAATAAGCTTGAGAAATTCTTTCAAAGAGTCGGGAACTTCATACACAAGACCAAGTAGTAATTAACTGCTGTTGCATAGGACTCAATTCACACAGGCTGTTTGTGTGGAAACTCAGGTTACTAAATATCAGACTCTTAATATTGGTACAGCTCATCCTTTTTTCTGTCTATGATGGAACTGTTTACATTTCGACCTTTACTGTTGTATTTTGTTCAGCTGCACTACTGAATAAGATTGCACCAAGAACACTTGATGTGAATACCTGCAGTAGGCCTTCACTCACCAGAGTTTATGAATGCTTTTTTCAAGCTGTCTTCATGTCTGTCCTGATATCATAAATTCAAGTGTTGTAAACAAACCTTGAAGATTCTTTAAATGGTAGATACATCAACATGTCAAAGATGAATGTCGTCTATTCATGCAAGCTGTCTGCATTATTACAGCAATGATGTTACTCCATTCAAAGGATCAGGGTCGAGGTAAAGGTGACGCAAACTAACAACTGACACGCCACCATTACCTTTATGTAAATGCTTCGCTCAGAGGTTTTATGAATGTCATGGGGGTTGCAATAACTTTGTAAACAGTGCATTTTATATTTCAAAAATAAATTTTTACCGCTTTTTTCATTGACTTTTAGGCAAAACCAAGCACACTTATTTTATTCAGACATTCAAATTTTGCTTTAAAGGAAACATATTTGTGACCTTCCCTTGCAAAGGTTGGTTACTTTTCATGAACAGTGTCCCAAATCAAAAATCCATTTCACTGCTTTACATCTTGACAATACTTTCTTTATGATTGCATGCTTAGAGCAATTTGAAATCATGCTTTTTGTGTTGTTTGTCACCATATTCCACATTGGAAAACATGTAACTCCAAACAAATCAGACCCAGCAAAGAAAAAGGGGCTGATAAACAGGAGGATTGCAACCTCAAAATATCTTTGGGATCATTTGTTTGGGTGCAAATAATTGTTGTAGTGCAACCTTTTTCCCCCCCATTCTGTTGTGAGTCATTTACTGTAATAAAGTGATCAATGGTTGATTAGTAATGCCTGCTAAGAAGCACAGCATTATAATGGCAGCCATTACAAATTAACCGCTGATCCATTTAATCCACGGCTTACACAACCAGTCAAACATCAGCTTGACATTCTTAACTTTCAATGTCAATTTAAATTGGTTAACACCAGCCTTTAATCAACCCCCCTTCGCGGTAGTTTCCTGCCGTGTAACAGAGAGCTAACTAGGGTGAAATTAGAAGAGCTGAAGAGGGAACGAATGAAGAGAACACTGAGGGGTTTTCTTAAGTGGGCCGCCTAACCCTGAAATTGCACCAGATCCATGTTTGGTCTGTTTCTGCTCTGCCACAGCAGCATTGCAGATGGGTTGCCATTTTTTTATCAATTGTTATGCTAACAATTCTGAGGGGTTTTTATCCATGTAATCGATGATTTTGCTTCTACTGACTCTGCTGTGGCCAAGCTTTGGCAAACTAAAGCCCTCTACAGCAGATACTCACAATTTCTGTTTTTGCTTGGTGCCAGCATGAAGTATCAAATAAAACAGTGAAGATCCAGGAAGACAGGAAGTCAGACATTTAAACAACATTAAAACAGCCAGATATTTTTCAAATTAAAACACCCCCTGTTGTCTCCAGATTGTTTCACGTAACCAAACTAACTAAACTGCTGTTTAACATGCCTGGAGTTGTTTTTCAATTACACAATATATGCACAGAAAATATGAATATTGTGGTTGTGGTGCTCCCAAGAATTTGCTGGTGCTGCTAACTTGAAACACCAGTGCAACCAAGGAAAAAAAAAGTCGATTTTTGGCCCCGACTGGAACATTTTCTTATTTTACTGGAAGATGAAAAACAACATTGTTGTGCTTACTCTCCCTTTGAGTTTCAGCCTTGACTTTTGCTGATGTTACACTGAAGATTTAGAGGATAGAATTTTTTTTTTAATGTGTAAATTGGAAGCAGATGGACAGTCTCACACTGTAGCACACACTGGACTTTTAGAAACTGTTTGGCTGATCTTGACTGATTAAATCAGCCTACAGTTTGTCAATAGAAGTGAAATCAATAAAACCAAACAAAAGTCAATGATGTGAGATGTAATAAACAAAAAAATGTACACCACTTCTTTTTGTGTTTACATTTACTTACATATCTTGCTTAAAGCTCCTGAGAGGAACTTGAGGTTTGAGTCAGTTTTGGTGCCCCATACAGTCATTCAGATGCTAAATTTTCTTATGACTAAAAAAGAGCTCATCCTGATGACTTCTGACAGTCAAATGTATCAGTAAATTAGAATATTTACGTGCATACTGGAAAAAAAAGCTGTCTCTTAAGCTGGTAAGCAGACACCTACGCACTCACACCAGTTTCAGGCACATAAAACAGCTGCTTTTGGACAACATGAAAAGGCATCAATGTTAATCTCAGTCCATTTCACTAATTCCAAAAAGCTTTAATAAAAGCTTTTATGTGACAAAAGATAAAACAAGTCCAACATGAAAGAAGGAAATTAATTTTCTTTTGGTGTTTCTATTATAATGCAAAATTCTGTGCTGCTCTAAAAAACTGTAAGATTTATGAATCTCAAACATTTAGAGGATTGATAGACGAGCTGATGTCTGCTCAGACAAACACTAAGTGCTTCCCAATGTTACTTATATGGTCAATATTTATTCGATTATAAAAGATTGCTTGATGCCAGCTTGGTAAAATTAGTAAAATTTGAATAAAACATGTATATCAAGTGTATAATCACAGAAATTGAAAAAAAAGTTTTGCTTTTCTTAACTTGGATTGAGCTTTTTATTTACAAGAAAGCCGTGTTGGGAATTGTATAACAATGCTTTAATATTTAATCATGTTTGTTACATTGCCAAGACTGCAACAGGATATACAGCAAAAGGAAAGTTAGCACCTGCATGGTAAAAGGGGTAATTTTCAGTAAACTTGGGCTGAACTTTTCAGACAAAATCTTCCAACTTATGAAGACACAAACAGGATATAATCAGCAGCTAAAAAGCTTCTCTTTGTCTGTCGGTGCAGAAAACTATTTTCTCTGTGTTTTCCTGACATCTTTGCAAAGGTTTTGTTAATAAAACTGTAAAAGAAATGTTCATTTTTCAGCTCTGCACTGGCAAACTTTTTACAAGCCGGTAGGTGCCAAAAGGCTTGGTTGGAAGACGAAAAAGAGGATAGTGGTTATTGTGTGCAAAGGAATTTGCGTTAGTGAACATTTCTGATGGTAAAAGCTTGACAAATGGAGGCGCTTCCTGACCTTGAAGGCCCCTGTAACTTCACTGACATGGGAACATTTTCTACTAGAATCTACCTGCTTGATTCCACTTTATTTCCATGTCTACACACTTCATTTATAAATCCTTTTCCACCTTGAACACTTCTGATAAAGAGGAATATGGATATCTTGCTCTATTTTTACATTAACCTAATCACTTCACTGTCTTTACTCAGTAACTTTCCATTTCCCTAATATTTGACCTCAATCAAACCTTGTCCCAAACTCAACCGCACAGACAGGAAATGTGTCTATTTAGGATCAAAAGCTTCTTATTTTTATCTCATTAAAGGAGGACATGTGAAGATATGAGTAAACATCTCCCAGCAGTAAATGAACAATGCTCTGTCTGCCACGATGCTGCTTGAGTGACAGAATCTCTGGTGGAAAATAGTGATAATGAAGGTCTAATTATGCACCGGAGGTTGATGTGATGCGTCAATTTTCACTGCAGTGGGCTTCTGCAGCTGAGCAATACCACGACTAACAGTAGTTATTATATAAAGAAAAGAAAGATGATGAAAAGAAGAAGAAATTAAGGGTCTTGTTTTCATGTCAGTTTTTCGAAAAATTAACAATTGCTTTTCATTCATTAAAACACAAAGCACTGGACAAAACTTAAAAAGCCATTCAATAAGCAATGCACTTCCTTCAGGGGGATGTCAAATGTGGGAGTCAAAACAGAAGCTGAGTGAAGCAAACAGCCGAAACAAATGAGTATAGGCCAAAATTCAGGGCAGATAAAAGCATTGTGGTTAAGAGTTTAATGCAGTTTTCTTCCTGTGTGTTTTTGAAGAGTAATTGAAAATGGGGTTCAGACTCTGCTCTGAGCTCACACAGGTCGTTCAAACAGTCTCGAGGGTCTCACAGTAAATGCTCAGTCACCTTTTTTTTTTACTCATGACGGTGAAAAAAGATCACAGAGGTTCGCCTGAGGATGTCAGACGGAGCGTTTGATCATTGGGGGTAGAGCAGCTCTGAGATATATGGAGGTGCAAAGTCAGATAGGACCTAAAGAGTGATTAAAGGTTGTCAGACTAGCACATAAAAACTCAAGAGACCCCCCGCAAATTCTGCTCCCTGAATTGAAACCATTCCCCTCGGGCAGTTGTTACCTTCAGAGCATCCAAGTGCAAGTGTATCCGGTTTAAGCTTTCTTTCCTGCCTCAGACACATAGCAGATCAAACAACCAACTGAACCTGAACGTTGCTGAACCAGTCCTCTGCACAGTGTGACTGTCAAGGTTCGTTAACCGTCATTATAAGTCTGTTAGCGTTGAATTGTTCAGTTCCCATGTTGATGTGTAGGTCTAAACGGGACTATTTTGATATTTAGATTAAGATGCTTCCTTGCTTACCCCCGTTTATAAATGACTGTGGCCTTCAAGGACAAAAAGCTAGTGATGCAAGACGACAGTAATCTTCAAAAACTCCTGTTGCTAATTCCTTTCTGCGCAACAACCCACTCTCTACTTCTTCTTTGTCTTCCAACCTGTGCATTTCAGCAGCTAAACTGTCTGTTTGGTGCTACTGTGGAAAACTGACAGAGTCGGATAGCAGCCTCAACGGTAAAGGGGCCCTCTTCTGCTCAGATATAAAAGGCTGATTCTAAAGTAAAGTAAAACTGAATAATCAGGATGATTAAGGATTTTATTTGTCATTCCAGTCTGCAAGAGAAAAGAACAAAACTAGACCTCAGGTATCAGCTGGTAAGACCAAACAAGTAAAAACTTTA